AATTGTACGTAATAATGTTATAATATTTGGTGAAAGTGTGAGTGTTGTAGTTATTATTTTAATGTGACGGTGATGATGATGGTGATGATAAAATTATTATTTTTATCATTTTTATATTTTTTTTATGTTTTTTTTGCAGAGACCCTGGCATAACTTGGAAAATAAGGTTCAAATCATGTACAAGGTTAGTTGCGAACTATTTGTTTGTATGTATATTTATTTGTATGTGTATTTATTTGTATGTATATTTATTTGTATGTATATTTATTTGTATGTATTTATTCGTATGTATATTTATTTGTATTTATATTTATTTGTATGTATGTATTTGTATGTATATTTATTTATATGTATTTATTTGTATGTATATTTATTTATGTGTTTATTTATTTGTATGTATTTATTTGTATGTATGTATTTGTATGTATATTTATTTATATGTATTTATTTGTATGTATATTTATTTATATGTTTATTTATTTGTATGTATTTATTTGTATATGTATTTATTTGTATGTATATTTATTTATATGTTTATTTATTTGTATGTATTTATTTGTATGTATATTTATTTATATGTATATTATTTATTTGTATGTGTATTTATTTGTATGTATATTTATTTGTATGTACGTGTATGTATGTATGTACGTCCTACCTCGGGAAACCGGGTCTCTGGACGAAAAACGAAGATTGATTGATTGATTTATTTGTATGTACCAGTGTTCTTCTGTCATCACATCATCGTCATGTTATCAGGGCATTGAACGTAGCTATCATTGTCATCATCATTAACGTAATTACATTCGTCGTTGTAATCAACGTTATCATCATCAAAACTGTTTATCATTATCATCATAATCACATAAAGTTATCATCATTATCCTGATTAGCATCTTCATCAGCATCATTATCGTCCTTGCCATTTATCGTCAGTTTTATTATTATCATCATTATTAACAGCAAAATCAACATCTTTACTTCCATCATCGTCATCATCATCGTCATCATCATCATTGTCATCATCATCGTCATTATCATCATTGTCATCATCATCGTCATCATCATCATTGTCATCATCATCGTCATCATTGTCATCATCATCGTCATCGTCGTCATCATCGTTGTCATCGTCATTGTCAGGTGGGCAGTGGGGCCATCCCTCGCATACCAGACTCTCTGAGTCAGGAGGGCTTCGAATTCGTGCAGCACTGCCTGGAGCCTGACGACACGAAGAGGTGGACTGCCAGCCAACTTCTCACTCATCCCTTTGTCAAGGTAGGGTGGTGGAATGTTTTGGGGATCTGTCAGGGGATGCCTGTTCGTTCGTGATGCATTTGAGAAATACTAAGAAGAGAGGAGGGAGGGAATTGTAAAAATGCATGAGTTGGGTGGGACTATGTCGGTTTGAGTTGGTGAGTAGGACAGTGCATGAGCTGGTCCTACGTGTCAGAGTTTCTGCAAACGAGTTTGGGGATTTTTCGGGGATGTCTCGGATCGTGGATGTTTAACTGTGGGTGATGATTTGGATGATGACGACGACGACGATGGTGATGATGGTTATGATTGTAATGAAGGTAATTATGTGATTTTGTGATGAGAATTACGAGGAACGATTGTGATAATAAATAATAATAATAACGATAATATTCATAATAATAATAATTATAACATAATTATAAATAATTAACTCAGGTGGTCTCAGAGGAAGACCTTGAAATGTGATGACGATGGGGTCTCATCATTGCGGAAATAAAAAAAATGATGACGAAAATGTTGGGGATGATGTACACATGTATATTTATTTTATTTATCGGAATGTCATTTGAATGTTCACAGCGACAGACGTTCAGCATACATATGTATGATTCTTACTTGATTTATTCTTATTTTCAATCCATTAATCAATTGTTATTATTCTTTTCGTTTTTATTTCTATTCATTTTTAGCTTTATTTTTTTCTGTAAATATGTGAATATTATTGATTGTAATGTTTGTGTGTATGTGTGATTGTGTATGGTGTGTGTGATTGTGTGTGGTGTGATTGTGTGGTGTGATTGTGTGTGTTTGTGATTGTGATTGTGTGTGTAATTGTGTGTGTGTGTGTGAAATATTTCTATAGATTAGGTTTATTGAAATTCGCTATTGGATGTGGACCTTTACATAGCAACATGTACATTGTTTGTAAATAAAAAGACAGACACACACGCACGTGCGCACACATACGCACACACACACACACATGCCACACACACACGATGTTTGTAGCTGTTTGATAACCTCCATCTTGTAGAATTATTGTGTATTAAGCTAACGTATTTCTAGTATCTGCAGTCGCTCTTTATATAATACATATCTATACACACACACACATATATACATATACACACATACATACATACATTACATGTACACATACACACACACAAACATACATACATACTTATGCACACACATACATACATGCATACGTACATGCATACATACACACATACATACACACATACAAACATGCATACAGGAACGTGATTGTATAAAAACATTGCATATAGACTAACATAAAAAACATGTTTGCCTCAGTGTAACGAAATTAAATATCTAATTTTTACATTCACCTTTCATGGAATTATTGATTCTTTGAACTTAAATAATAGTAACAATTAGGGAATGTGAATATTGGAATAGGCATGGAATATAGAAAATAGCTCATTTTTTCATTTACAAATTACTCTATTTTAGTTGTACGTAAGTATATACAGCTCCGGTAACATCTTGCTATTGAATGTGAGCGTATGAGGGTCCTGTGTGTGACTTAAAAACCCAGATTTCTTGCTTCTTGGAGTGTGAAATTTATTTTTTTTTTGTTTTTAACTGATTTCATTTTAAAGATTACAATTTTTAACGTCGTGTTTTATTGCTGGCATCCTTTCTTGAATATTGAATATGGGTATATAGACAGATAAAGATAGATAGATAGATAGATAGATAGATAGATAGATAGATAGATAGATAGATAGATAGATAGATAGATAGATAGATAGATAGATAGATAGATAGATAGATAGATAGATAGATAGATAGATAGATAGATAGATAGATAGATAGATAGATAGATAGATAGATAGATAGATAGATAGATAGATAGATAGATAGATAGATAGATAGATAGATAGATAGATAGATAGATAGATAGATAGATAGATAGATAGATAGATAGATAGATAGATAGATAGATAGATAGATATAGATAAAGAGAGAGAGAAAGAGAGAGAGAGAGAGAGAGAGAGAATTATATCATATATATGCGAGAGAATATTTGTAATTTTTGCATGCAATTACATTCAATTTCTTGAAGCGCTATCGTATTTAACTGGTGATTTTTTTTTTAAATTTGAGGTTTTTAGTGACTAGAGTAGACGTACGTGTTTGTACGAACTGTCAGGAAGCTCTATGACGCATTCTATTATAAATGTCTCACAATAAAGTGGCCTCTTAAAGTTGAGAAATAATTTGTTACGTGAATCATTTGTGATCATTTTATTTAACTGTATCTTCTTACCTACGGATCATGTTGCAATATTATTTTACAAAATTATGTAAGTCACCTGGTAGTTTATTAATTAATTCTTTTACATCTTTCATTCTCAATTACCTTTTTTATGTTTATCACTTTTTTAATCATTTTAAACGTAAATCCAAATAAATATCAATTCAATAGGAATTTAATAATTTGTATTGGAGTGTTGGTAAGTCGTAGAAATATTCTTTGCGAGCCTTAGCTACTGTTTTACATAACTTCATGTGTGTGTGTGTGTGTGTTTGTGTGTGTGTGTGTGTGTGTGTGTGTGTGTGTGTGTGTGTGTGTGTGTGTGATTCGAAGCATGGGTGTGTGTTTGTCACTGAAGCATTTATCAAAATTTTAAATCAAAAAATAAATAAATTAGATCGATCGGTGCCATGTGAATCTTAATTTGTTTATATCTCATGAATATTAATTAGTTTGTCTTAATGAATATTCAACATTTGTTCACCTCTTGAATTTATTAATTTGTTGTTAATCTAATGGAGATGTGGTGAGTTATTACGACTATCAATTATTAAGTTTCCTTGACGAAAATGTGACTAGGTCGGTCAATTCATTCTGATTAATTATTGGCTAATTAGTTATTTCATTTGTTTCCATTACGATAATAATTAATCAACTTAATTTAATTTTTAAGATGTTTAACGAAAACTTATTTTATTTCATATTTTATACTCTATTTATAATTGTAAACATGACCTTGTTTTTTTTTTATCATAAGGATGACTACTTAACTTACTTACTAACCAGAGTTGTAACGTTTTATTGCTCCTCTCCAGTAAAAAAAAAACAATTTTCCAGTTACCTTGCATTTTATTTTTTCCATTTTGCAAAAGTATTTTTTTAATTTTTATCGTTCCTTTATTTTATTTTATAATGAATGACGTTGCGTGCTTCCTGCTTGAGATTCAGTTAATAGGGATGGACACGCTGCTCCCAATAAATGTTACTTGTTGGATGATTCTTTTGGTTGGTTGAATGATAGACTGAATAATTGGATGATTGCTTTAATGATTGGATGGTTGATTGATTGTTAGATTATTTAATTGATTGAATGGCTGATTGAATAAATGATTGATTGCATTATATTTAATTGATTGAATGGTTATTTGATATAATGGTTAGATTGAATAATTAAATGGTTGATTGAATGAATTATTGGTTGATTGAAATGTAAGTGATTGAATGCTAGTCTCCTCTAATGTTAATTTCTTTAGCGTTTTACAATTTATTGGATTGGCGCGTCGACACGTTCAATAACGATAATCTTTATCTTTTCAATGATTACTTTTAAATTTATATGCTGCGTAACTCTTTTAATTCTTTTTAAAAAAATTCATAAATTTTAATTTGAATATTGTCATTGGCATCAATATAATCGGTAGTATTATAAATAAATTATATCAGAATCATCATACGGCTTAATGCTTTTATTTCCTTGTCTACGGAATTCAGTATGGTGCCAGATTCGTGTGAAAATTGGTCTAACTTCGACTCCTAATTGGAAATTTTCAGACTTCAGCTGATGGGATTATTATTCCATTCCCGACTCCTATTAGCTTCTTGTTCTTACAATTCAAAGTGGTCAAATCTTTTTTAATGGAATGTATTGCGCGCATTCACATGACTTCATTTCTGTTCTGATATCGTTTGAAGTACGATCATGTGACGTCAATTCGGGATCTGCATTGGCTTCCAGTGGAAAAAAGTGTAGAGTAGAAGTTAGCAATGAAATTGAAACAATGTTGCTTTTAAGAAAGATTACTTAAACATTACCAACATAGGACGTTTTATACAGATGGCACAAAGATAGGAACAGAAAAAGAACTGCAGATGAACAACGCAACAGATGGAGAAGGCAGCAGGTGGTTCAAAAGGACGCCAAATCAATTAGATGACAATTTCGTGACATCTTTCGACTCAATTGAAATTTTAATTTCACGATCTTCGTTTTTTATCTTTTTTCCATGCATTTCTTCATTACTTCACGCCAGAATTAATTATGAAACAATTCGACAGCCGCACGAACTGCGCGCGCGTGTGTGTATGTGCGTTTGTAGGCGTGTGAATGTGTGCTTTTCTGTGCTTCCGTTTGTGTGCGGGGTTTATTTTTTGATTTAGGTTGAATGAAAATTGGTCACGAAAAGACCACAAATGCTGTCTGAAGTTGTAAATTAATTTATTAAAATCCACGCTTTGTTGATACGTAAGCATCTATCAAAAAGAATGATCTGTGTGCGTGAACGTGTGTAGAGAAAGAATACTGTTGGTACTTTTTTTTAATGACGAATGAGTGCGTGTTTGAACTGAAGTCGAAGCGTAAAAATGATTAAAAGATTGAATGCAATTAAACGAATTGATTTCATTTGTCATCTCGAGACGGCTTCTCAGGCGTACAAGCACACACGCATTCAAACATACACCACACGCACATATATGAGTGTACGTGCGTTTGTATGTGTGTGCGCGTGTGTGTGTGTGTGTGCGCGTGTATGTGTGTGCGCGTGTATGTGTGTGTATTTAATAAAAAATTATAAAAAATATAAGTAGATTACGTCTATTCATTCGCAAAAGTTGTCATGCAAGTCTTTTGATAAAAATTTATTCAAAAAGTAATTAAAATTTAACGGTTAATTTGAAAACTTTTCAAGCTGTTTACACGTACGAGGTCACAAAAATTTATGCACGCCATTTAAGCTGAACATTTTTTTTTCGTTGGATCGATTCAAACGTTATTAGGTTTTTTAAAACATAAATTTCTTGCTTTCGTTCTTTGTGAAATCTATTTTGTATATATGCCAAATGAAATAGTATATTTTGTATTAAAAGTTTTATTTTTCGCCAATAATTTTGTTTATTAAAACGTTACTTACCTACAAAACTAAACAACCCAAATTAAACAAGCCGTTATTCAACTCTTCAATATGACTCTAAAACTATAATTAAATATTCTCAGCTTTCAATTCACAACGAACTTTCTCTGAGAAACGCTATCATTGTAATTCATAGCACGTTGTTTCGCATGTTCACAAACAAAAAAAAATTTCCTTAACTTGAAACTTTAAAAATTTGAAAACTTCGAAAATTGAAAAAAAGTTATGTCCATGATTTAATGTTAAGATAATAATAGTTGTACAGGTTTAGAGCATATCTTCAGATTTTTTTCTCTTACCCTTTTTAAAAATGTTTGATCATTTCGTTAATGTCATTTTCTGTTGCGGCTTTGCGTTAAACAGTGGTTTTTTTAATTTTTATATCTGCATGTGTATGTGAGTATTCACACTGATTTATATACACCTGTTTTTCTATGATACTTACCAGTTTTATTAGTACAATTCTCTAAATTGACTTGTTATCATTTTTTTATTCTAATTTTTATTTATTTTTCCTCTATATACATATAAATCTAAACATAATATAAATGTTAATTGATAGGTATGGCTGAGTTTGGAGTTTTTCTTATTTTGATTAACTTTCATTGCTTAACTGATGATGAAATTGTGATGCTTATAGAATTTCTTATTGGGGTTTAAGGTTTGTTATGGTTAGGCATCTGCTGAATGTTTATTAGACAGATGTCTATAGACTTCCAAATGTTTATTGGAAGACAGATGTATATAGACGTCTAAATGTTTATTAGACCGAAGCGTCATCGTACTATTTTAATTTTAACAACGATCTAAACTAGTTGTGGGTTACAGTTTCAACCATTTGTTTGAACTTTGAAGATTGAATTGCAGGGTTTTTAATTATATGCTTTAAAAATATGGAATGGTTTTTCAGACTAATCAAGACGATCTCATGATATTTAGAAAACTATTAAAGACAAATCTGTTTGCTCTCGACGAATCATGTATATAATGACAGTTCGATATCTTCAAAGAAGCTCTTTTCAGATTAAAAATATAATAGCGTTACATAAAACACCAACAACTCTCCCTCTTTCTAGCTCCATTTTTCTGTTTTTTTCTATCTCTCTCTCTCTCTCTCTCTCTCTCTCTCTCTCTCTCTCTCTCCTCAATCTTCATCTGTCTATATACCTATATAATACATAATATGTATACGAAAAACGGCTACTTAAAGCGATTTCAAGTTTTCTTGCGGTAAAAATGAATAATGGATGGACAACGCAACGAACGCAGGCATGAGATTTTACGTTCTGCTTAATGCTTATTAAAGAAATAAATTCAAGTCGTTAGTGATCGTTGTAACATTTTAATTTTGTTGTTTGATGTTTGTTGGGTGTGCGTATGTGTCGGTCTAGTGAATGTTTTGTTCTGAATGAAATGTTTCTTTCTGAAATTTTGTTCTGATATTTTTTTATATAAACAAAAAAAGATTATTAAGTCAGTTGAAATATTTAGCAATCTTAATGAATTTTTTCAGATATTAATTAAGAAGTAAAGCACTTAAATTTAACTTCCTATCTTAAAAATTGAGCCCTTAACAATTTGTTCATCAAGAGCAAATGTTTGCTAAAATGTTGTAGATGCTTCGCTTTTTGAAACATAATTGAAGATTAATTTGAAAAACGAGTATTAAATTGCCAAAAAAATTTTATTAATTCAAATAAAATTATTTTATCTGAAAAGTTCAAAGTGAAGATGTCAAGATGTTCATTTATGCTTGCGTTGACTGTTCTGAACATGTTGATGATTGGGCCATCGTTCGGAAACACTATCCAGCTCGGGATGATTGTGAGTGATGAGAACAAGGACAGGTTCCAACCAGCTATTGAAACTGGTTACACCAGGTTCTTCAACCAAAGTAGCAATGGAAGTTATGAGTTCGTTTTGCTGTTTTTAATTTATTTTGTAACATAAACTCTAAGCTTGAATTATTTCTGTAATTGCATTAATTTTCAGCTACTGAGCCTCGAGCACGGGATTCATTATTCACTATTAAAAATAACAGTTTTGAAACAAAAATTTCTCATGAATTGACCGTTTGCAGAGTGTTCTGGTATATCGTGAACACCTGCGATGGCATAAGCGGATCGAGAACGGCACTGGATCTTGTTCTGAACAAGTCGGCGGATGCGCTCTTTGGATCATTCTGCTCCAGCAGTTAGCTTTTTGTTATTTTCTTGACGGATTCAATGTTCTGACGGTAGTTGTATTTCATTGCATAAAATAAATAGGTGTACTTATCTTAATTAATTTATTATTGTAATAGAAGATTTCGGTCCAAGTGGGATATTTGAGCATTTAAAAAAATTATTTGAATTTTAAATAATAAAAAAATATTGTTTCTCGAACAACCTCAAAAGACTGCATAGCCAGCGCACAAATCGCTGACTACTGGGACCTCCCTTACTTCCCTCTCGATTGTTTCGACTCAACGCTGGACAGTTCTTCTCTCTACAAAACGGTCATCAGAATTTTCGGCTCACTTTCTTCTTACGGAGCATCAGTTTCAGCGTTCTTCAGACGAAACAAATGGAAAAGTTGCGCTATCGTTAAAGAAATTAGGAAGGATTTCTGCCAGTTTGCAGTTGAAGCGATAAAGGCAAAATTTCTCGGAGACAATGAAAGAGAGAAAGTAAGAATAAGTGAAAATCAAGAGGTCCCTTCTATTTTCAGCGACGATGACATAAAAAATCTTCTGGATAAGTTGGAAACCTCATCTAGAAGTTTGTTACCTCAGCTCTATTTTGGTTGTTGGGTATATTAAAGGTGCACATATTTGTGTTTTAAAGTTATTTTTGCATTGCTTCATAAAATGTTTGCTTTATATTGTTTTGTTCTTGTGAAATAGTGAATACGACCAAGTAACTAAACAGATAATGTTAAGATATGATAACAGTTTAAAAACAAACCAATATTACATTGCTACATAGAGCACAACACAACTACATAGAAACACTGTGACACAACAAAACAACCACAAGACTCCCTACAATAACGAAAATTCAGTAATTGTGATCTGCCACACGAACGCAAGTGCTATGGCGGCGCTAATATACGCGGCATACCTGCGTGGCATGACCAGACCTAATGAATACGCCTGGATCACCCTCTACAACATCTACTCCAATTTCAGCTTCAACACGCTGTTCGTTCCTTGGATGGTTGTTAACGACACCAAAAAGAGCATTGAATTGAAAGAAGCTTTCTTATCCGTTAAAGCTGTTAGTGAAGATGGTGAAATAGTGATGATGTTCATGAATGACATGGTTGTATGGTGATGGTCATACCTTTAATAGGAATGGTTGTGGGTAAATTGGACTGATTGGGTGATTATTTTTGTGTCGCACCGGTAAAGCAAAACTATTATTTTAAATGTTAATTAAAATCAATGCAAATTTTGTAACAACAGAACAGTGTTTCACAAATGATGTCAATGTCAAAACTAATTTATCGCGCTGCCAGGGCGCTCTGATGTCTTTGTTTCTGTTTTATGCGGATAAAAGGAACTGTGCTCACATGACGTTCGTTACTTTATTGCAATAAAACTTCTTGCCACAAAGTCTGTCTCAATACACACACCACACACATACGCACACACTAAACAACGTATACAGGCATTTATAAGTATTCGCAAGCACCCCATCTAAGCATATGATTTTCTGATTTTTTGAAGTAGTTCTTAAACCAGGTCCTAGCACAATTACAACGGCCCAAAACATGACACTTTTGCCGCCTGAGCTAATTCGCCAATCGTTTCAAATGCTGTCTCTGCAAAACAAGACTATCGAAGCCTTCTTGAGGTCATGGACGATTACCGAATAAACTCTAAATAATAAATAAAATAGACAATCAATCAATCAATCAATCAATCAATCAATCAATCAATCAATCAATCAATCAATCAATCAATCAATCAATCAATCAATCAATCAATCAATCAATCAATCAATCAATCAATCAATCAATCAATCAATCAATCAATCAATCAATCAATCAATCAATCAGTCAGTCAATCAATCAATTAGCTTATAAAGCGCTATTTCCGCGATGTTCAACAGCGCTCCTCAATGAATTTTGAAAACAGATGGGTCTTGAGATCAATGAAAGTTATGTCAGCAATATAAGACCATTGTCATCGACCGTAAGATAGCAAATGAAATATTGAAAATTGTTTCCAAATGTGATTGATACATTACCAAAAAACCTCCAAAAACAGATCACCTACAAGAATTTCAGCCGACTGCCTGACCCTGACTCTGATCCAAACGATACAGGACACGTCACCTCCAGGACGCTACTCATGGTTAGGTCAACTTCAACATTCACCTTTATCCCAACATTCACATCAACAGTCAACTTAATATTTACTCCAACATTAACATAAGCTACGCTATTATCGCTCTTCTTTTATTATCGTCACAAACATCATCAGCAGTGATAATGAAAGCAAAGACAATAAAATATCAACGAATTTATCGGTTTATATTTATCGCCTAATGTTTCGCGCCTAAAATTCAACATTACCGTTATTATCATCCTACATGTTTCTACATGTAGGATGATGAGATACGGCAAGGAAGATGAGATATGAGAAACAACAACAAGCAGACGGGATTTTCTCATACACGGATTTAATTATTTTTCACTAATTTTACCAATGACGTCACAAAAATTTTCAAAAATGAAAAAAATATAACTAGAGTTCACTTAACTACTCTGTCCAGTCATTCCTGACGGATGCTGTTTATTTGTACTTCATACTGAGGAGCAAGACAGCCGCGCATAATTTGAATGAGAAAAGTGGAAGGATCATTCTCAACATGAGTCGTAACGCTAACTACAATGGCGGTATGCCAAGTTTGGAAAAAAAACATTAAATTTAAAAGAATCTTTTGTTTTTTATCTAATTCAACTAACATTCAAAGTTTACGAGTTTTAAATGAAGTTTCAGCTAGATGTTCACGAACACGAAAAAACATCACAGGTGTCACAGAGAACATCACAATGAGCTCTGATGCGGACAGGTACATGACATTCATCGTCTGGTCCTTGTCTCCAGATTCATCAACATTCAGACCCTACCTCAACATCAACTTCACAAACGACAGCTATAGGGTACTATACATTCAGTATTATATTGAATGGTTAAATACTGTAGAAGCGTCAGGGCGTCTTGTCCTGTGCAGTGTGCTGCGTAGTGCCTCTTTGCATGCCTGTGTTGTTGGAAAGAATAAGAATAACCAGTACCACAACATTCAAAAACTTTAACTTGTTGTAGGTAGATGTTAAAATATTGGGGGCAATTTTAAAAAAAAGATAAGAGTGAGGATGTATGTAGACAAGATAAAAACGTCGCTGAAGAAAAATTTGTGGAAAGCGTGAAATTTTAGCGTCGAAATTGTCTATTGTGCTATGTCATATTGCGTTAACGTTACAAATTAGCTATGATTTGTCTATGGGATCTTAATGTGTTGGCCATTTAGGATATGCTATAAATGGAATATGATAATAATTTGTTACTTAATACTTAATAAATATTAATAATATATAAATAACTTAATAAATATTAATTATTATCACGTCCAGCCGTTTCTGGTGGACGTGGAGAGGTGGGGCTACTCGAACAGCCCACCCTTCGACAAACCAAAATGTGGCTACGACAACATCTACTGCAATGGCGGTTTGATCATTGTTTAGTAATTCTTTTTTAACCAAGTAACTTTGTAAATTTGAAAATTGACACAATCTAGATTTTTCTCATGTAATAAAAAAAAATCTGATAAACTGAATTGCTATTTGCTGGTCACCAGAGGACAAGACTTTCATCATTGCATCTGCCGCGTCCCTGGCGGTCATCATATTCCTCGCTGCTTTCTTCATGGTTGTTAGGTAGGTTGGCTAATCAATAATTAAAAAAAATGTTTTTTATTAATTAACAATTTAATCGAAAAATTTAAAAAAAATGATTAATTTAGCTAGAAGAATGGACTATATATACATATAGAAATTTTTACAATATTCTATAAATTCAACGAACTTCAAACATATTAACGCCAAACATTCGGTAGAATTTATAGAATATTGTAAAAATTATGGTCTATTACCAACATTTACATATAGAAATATATAGAAAAAGAAATTTATAGAAATAGAAATATATAGAAATATATAGCTACCTACTAAAGTCAGTTGTTTGTTTCAGGTCTCACTTGAACGAGCAAAGACTACAGAGCATGACCTGGAAGATAAAGTACAATGATTTGCAATTTCTCAAAAGAACGAAGAGTGTTAGTCAGGTTTATTTAGTTGAACTAAAAAATTGGAATACTAAAATTTAATAACTTGGATTTAGAAGAGACGCTTTTAAGTTTTAAATGTAATGAAATGTAATTTAAAATAAATTAACATATGAAAATCTGTCAAAATAGAAATGACATTAACAATTTTTTTCACAAAAAACATGGCGGTTGTCAATATTTGAAGAATATATCAAACCAAAAATATAAGGATGCACACATGCACTTAGTGATAAAAAAATCATAAACATGCTCAACTACCCATGAAAAACCGTTAAGAAAAATAATTTATTAAAATTCATGAGCAATCAACAAATAAATACATAAATAAATAGCAATAAAACAAAAAAATCATGGGAAAATTGGAAGAAATATGTAAAACAAGAAATCACACGACAACACCACAACGCGTGCTCAGTTGAAGAGCCTGTCGAGGTCGTCATCGGGCTTGAACGAATCAGACGACCAGTTGTTCCTGCAGTCCTTCAGAGAGTTCGGAGAAACTGCAGGAGGTGGAATGATGATTGCCATCTACAAAGGAGATGTTGTCACTGTCCATTATTCCGGAAAACGTGAGGTTACACTGACTAGAAAGGATCTTGTGGAGCTTGTCAAGGTATCACACACATACACACACCTACACACACACCACACACACACATACACTTATACAAACACACATGCAACACACACTCTTATACATATATGCTGTTATACTAATGGTTTTTATTTTAAGCGTTAATTTGTGAATATCAGATGAAAGACATCCAGCACGACAACATTATCCACTTTATGGGAGCTTGCGTTGAGACCGACAGGATATGTTACATCACACAGTACTGCGCTCGAGGCAGTCTACAGGTTTCCTATAGACAAATCATGTTCCGTCGCCAGCAACCATTTGTGTCTTTGTTTGTTACTCTAACGAAAATAATCAAAACAAAAAAGTTTTTTTTATTATCACGAAGAACAACATCTAAGGAAGAAACGATTCTAATAAATTGTGACGTTTTAATAGCAACACTAGTGCGATGTTTATTTGTGGTGGTGTTAAATTTAATAGTTGAGATCTAACGAAATGATGTTATAAATTGAAAGGGGAGTCATCAAAGGGTATTCATGGCAGTCGTGGCTTAATTTTTGTTGCCAGAATGATTACTAGAACGTACATTTTCTACATTAATTACTCATTATTATAATTTTATTTTGTAAGAACGGCTCTATCATAATTATCGTCTTCAACAAATTCGCCTCCAGGACGTGCTGGCCGATGGTCAGTCCTCCATTGACTGGACGTTCAAGCTGTCCTTCACAACTGACCTCAGCAAAGTAGGACTCAACGAATTTTTTTTATTTTTGCTTGACAGTTCTTAATTAATAAGAATCAGTTTGAACAGATGAACAAATTAAAATTTAAAAAATGTTGCAGAATTATATGTAAAGTTATAGAGCAGAATGTCTATTAATCAACACCTGAATGAATTTTTTCATAAATCGTTCTTTGATGGGAACGATTACAGCTTAAAAGAAGAATTCTGTAATTTATGAACGTACCTCGCCTAAATCTAACATACCCACACGCACACTACCACACAAACGCACGCACACTCAGAGAGAGAGAGAGAGAGAAAGAGATTGAGAGAGAGAGAAGCAGGAATGATGGAGCGAAAGAGAGAGAGAGAGAAAGGAAAAGAATTTCGCAATTTTGCTAAGAATCTATGGGCAGTATCCGATTTGGTTCTTTCTCGCCATGTCGGAGCATTTTGAATGTTTGAGACATGATTGTTTAGAGTTTTGATTTGACGTCAATGAAAAAAATTACAAAAAAACAACTTTGCACATTCTTTAGTTCATAGCAGATTAGATTAGTGCAACAGTTTTTTCGTCGGACTAACGATTAATTAGTTATTGAGGTTACAATTAGTAGAAACCACCGGGCAGCAAGATTGGTTGTGAGTGGATTGAAATTTGATCAGGATGATCTCAATGATCATCTCTGGTTAGGAAAAAAGAATGAATGACCTTCAAAATAGCTACTCCATAATAGAGTATATGATTGAAAAATTATTGATAGATCCACTTTCTACTCACACCTTTAAATTACGGTCAAAGAATATCTACGTATTGTTAGTTACTTACTACTGCAAAGCTTTTCACTGGAATGATATTATTTTTCGTCATTGGTCAGAAATTTTCAATTCCTCGTATACTCTGTGAACATTTTATAATTTACAACAATAATAGGGTTTATAGTACAGAGCATTACCTTTTAGATATTAAAAAAATTGTACTTTTTAACTAACTTCTACAAGTATTGAACTTTTATAAAATTTTTTATTTTTCTACCCAACCATACAGGGAATGAACTACCTTCATAAGTCATTCATCGAGTTGCACGGTCGTTTGAACAGCAACGTCTGCATGATCGACAACAGGTTCCAATTGTAACGTACCATTGTCTAAATATCTTTTCCAATCAACATTTCCCCCATACCTAACCACTTTTCAAATTCGATCTTTCAAATGTTTTGTAAAATATTTTTAAGACGTTTTAGCGTTTAATGTAAGCTTATCTATTATTTATTATAAAATGTTTGTTAGATTAAAAATGGCTTGGGTTCATGTTTCAAAAAAATTCAGATGGGTCCTAAAAGTTTCAGGATTCGGTTTGTCAACTTTCAAGTTGGACGTAAGAGAGGAGAAGCCAGGGGAAAGTTTCTACAGGGATCTCCTGTGGACTGCACCTGAACATTTGATGTCACCAAGTTCAAGTGGGTTAGGGAGGGCAGTGGCGTGGGGTTATAAAATACATCTTGGCGCCTTTTGGCAAAAGTTTTTATCTGTTCAAATTTTCACAGATATTTTTATTGCAATAAAAATAAAATCTTTATAAAATGTAAGTTTTTAATGGAAATTAATTCAATTTTACCTGGAAGTACTCGGAAATGTGCCTCCTTTAAAATGGAGACCAGGTCAACTTCGACCCACCCCTCTTGTTGCGTCCCTGTCTTTAGATTCACTGATAATAATAATAATAATATTTTCTAAGTATAACTACAATAGTTTGTAAAGTTTCGTTACTTTGTTTTTCACAAAGTATCATCTAGATCAGATATAAACAAAAAAAAAAACTTGCACATAGGTGGAAGCCAGAAAGGTGACGTTTACAGTTTTGCCATCATAGTCTACGAAATACTTTATAAAGATTTTCCTTACCACACAACAAACCTGGATTATAAAGGTGTCAATTTTTGATGTTTTGTTTGAAGACTTAAAATAGTATGTGAATAGATTATTAACTAGGTAGCTAGAAATAATTGACTTTGATATTTAAAAAAAATAATAGGTGAACCAATTCAAAATTATTCTTGCCTTTAATGAATGTTGGGTATCTCAATACTTTCATGATACTCTCCGCAAACCTTGAAAATAACGCGAACAGACATAATAACCCGCATTATGGAGTCCCAAGATGGCCCATTGCGACCGGAGCTCTCGCCCTTGGATGATGCAGATGCAAATCCAGCAATATTGAACCTGGTCACTCAGTGCTGGGACGAAGATCCCAATGTCCGTCCCTCTTTTGACGTCATCGAAAAAACTGTGAAAAAATTCCACACTGGAAAGTTTGTTTTTTTTTTCAAATATTTTATTTACGCATCACTTTGTTATTTTATATGAAAATTGAAAAAAAGGAACGAATTTAGCAAAAGTTATTTACCCACGTATTGCAGGAATGACAGCATCGTAGATAGCATGTTGAAAAAGTTAGAAAAGTACGCTAACAACCTGGAGATGATTGTAGAGCAGAGAACTGAAGAACTCGTTGAAGAGAAGAGAAAAACTGATTTGTTGCTAAACAGCATGTTGCCACCGTAATTTATTTTCTTTCATATTTCGCAAAGAATTTAAATGTGTAACGTAGCTTCTTAACGGGAACTATCAGCATTTTGAAGAGTGTGGTTTTAATGACATTTGATTTCGATAAATTTCTTGCAGCTTCATTGCAGATGAGTTGAAGGCAGGACGCAAGGTGGAGCCCAAGATGTACCAGAGTGCCTCGGTGTATTTCTCAGACATTGTTGGGTTCACGACGTTGTCATCTCAAAGCACTCCCATGCAAATTGTGGATCTGCTTAATGATCTCTATGGAGCATTTGATGATACAATCTCGAGGCATAATGTTTACAAGGTTTGTTCAATTTTTTCAATAGTTTTTTCAAATTGTACAACAATTTAAAGATCTATAATTTGATCTAGTTAACTCCAGCTATTTAAATTTAAAGGTTGAGACGATAGGAGATGCGTACATGGTTGTGAGTGGTCTGCCTCAGGTAACAGAGCGCCATGTTGTGGAAATATGCAACATGGCATTGGATCTGCTGGGCATCGTCAAGACCTTCAAGATCAGACATCGGCCTGAGATGACACTCATGTTGAGGATTGGCATTCATTCGGGACCTTGTGCTGCCGGTTCGAACGTTTTCACTAACTTCTGAAGGTTGTATGCTAAATTGTCCTAATAATTCCAACAGGAGTGGTCGGTCACACGATGCCTCGCTACTGCTTGTTTGGTGATACGGTCAACACCGCATCCAGGATGGAGTCAACTGGTGAAGGTTGGTGTTATAGCTCAATTTTAATTGAGAAATAATGCGATCATCTGTATACAAGCAAAAAATATTAAATTTAATATTTTACTAAACCATTTTTCTGTTTGATTCCGTGCTGTTGAGTTTCTGTTATGATAGGTTAAAATTAAAAAAAAATTAATTTCTATATTAAAAATATTTTAATGTCAGTAATTCATTTTATTAAATACATCAAAGCCCTCAAAATCCATCTGAGTACACCAGCCAGAGATCAACTTCTTCAGTTTCCTGGATACGTTATCGAATTGAGAGGCCTCACTGAGCTAAAAGTAAACTTTTGACTTCACGTATAAAACTTTTGATAAAATTTTTTCAAGAAATAAACTGGAAGAGCTTATACTGAGGCAGATCAGTCACAATAAATGACAGGTCAGTTGTTTGAGTCGTGAACTTAAACATGAGACGTCCGTTGTTTTGTTAGTATGTGGGCTATGTTTATTCCGTTATTATGCTATGTGGAATTGATGGTGTTAAATAAAAAACGCAGTTCAGAAATGTAAATTATAATAAAATTCAGCACGTTTTAGTCGGCAAGAAATCTTTTGCGCTAATTTCCAATCTTATCCTATATTATACTGACTTTGTTTCAAGAATTTTTTGTAAAACTTTTATACCCCGTTTTAAAATTTCTTTCTCTTTCACCTACAACTTTTAAAACCAGTTTCCTAAAAAATCTTGTTATCAACATACACAATCAGGAACACTCTTATACAAAAATTAACAATCTGATGAATGTTCCGGTAACTTGATTCTTTGCTGATACTGACGACCATCAGATTTTATTTTAATTTATTTTTGACATTTTCATTTTTAGGCAAAACAACCTCATTAAACCTGTTTTTAGTTTGAAAATGATAGACGGCATGTCGTTGAGGCAGCAGATTTTTGCCCCGGGAATAACTTTTTTATAAATTTGATTCATTTTTGAAAAATTTTGAAACATGGAAATAGTATACTGTACCGTGTCATATCATAAACTACCTCGTAAGGGCAAAGGAACGATGATAACGTACTGGCTCTTAAGGAAAGACCCGACTGAGACTACCAGCGAGTAATGTTAATGAACCAGAGAAACTCTTTCAACGTTGTTGAGAAATGTGAACTTGAACAATTTATTAACAATCTTGACAATTTTTAGAACTTTTTAACTTTATAACTGATATAAACAATAACACGTAAGCAAATGAATTGATATTATTTTAGTTGCGCCGACAACCATGTCGACGTAATTGATATTATTTTTGACATTTTAAAATTTGCAATTTATAAATAAATATAAACAAGTTTACATATTCTAAGGTTATGCAATTAAGCCAATCAAATGTGTAGTTTTTTTTAAATTTTTGTTTAATCAAATATCGTAACGCTATCAACTGCACTTGTTAGTTTTAAGATTATGAACACCGCAGCGTTTCGGCGTTTCGTTTGTGTCGTAAAAATGCTTTTGAGCAGTTTGTGCTTCAGTATAATTTTTTTCGTTTGTTGTGACGTGCTAATGAGGCATACTACCCAATTAAATAGCAGATCGTCTCATTTCTTCAGATTTTTCATGTGCGTTTTTTCATTGAAAAACATTTTGCACTTTGGGTTTTAGGTCACAAAATAAAAATAATGTTAATTATTTTTACACCAAATCGTAGTAAGTGTTTTATTTGATTCAAAATAATTGTTCCTAAAATTTTATTGTCTTTCAAAATGAGGGACTTTAGAAATTGGTCACTTTTTCTGGCGTTGGTCGAATCGAAAGATGCTTGTTGAAAATAGAAGCACAACTGAGCTCTTTAATTAAGAAAGAATCATTTTTATGAACTGATGTTATTTGAGTTGCATCAACAGTCTTGACAACATAATTGATGTTAACGACAAACTTTATAAATTGGACTGCGTGTAATTTTCAAATATTCTTCATTTGTTGGTTAAAATAAAACTTTTGGCATTACAGCCCAATCGTGAAAATGTCAGATTGAATTGTAAGAAATGAATAAAAACGACGCACAGACGTCATGGATTGTTAACTTGTGAGACCGGCCTTCATGTGAGGCCAAGTAGACCTTTTTGTTTAGAAATGTTTCATTAATAAAATCCAATTTATTTTACTCATAATTGGTTATGGGACTAAGTGGATGGTAAATTAATCAAAAAACGTTAAAAAAATGCTGTGATTGAGGCCAAGAAAAAGGTCACCAACTTTAGACCTCCGGGCAGTAAGGCAGGCAGGGAGAAAAAGAGAAGGAGATATATTATTATCCACTCTTAAAGCATTTTTCAGAGGTAGATATACTGTACATGTACAGAATATAATGTTAAACGGTTCATTATCAGGTCAGACAATTCCAACAACAGCAAACAGTAAACAATCACTAAAACTGTATAAATTTAAACATGAAAACTTCAAACAATCCAAACGACAAGCGCGAAACCAATTAGCGAGCACTCTCAACCCGATTATTGCAACTCGCTCTACTATGGTCTTCCTGACTCTATACTCTATCTTTTAAGCAAACCTTTTAACTCTGCTGATAGTCTAGTTGCCCGTGCCACTTTCTTTTCTCATATATCTCCATATCTTGTTCTCTTGCACTGGCTACCTATAAAATATAGAATAATTTTTAAAATTTGCACATTTATATATAAGTTTCAATCTAAATTATTTTCTAAGTACTTATTAGATATATTAATTGAACCTAAACGCCTCGGTTTACGATCGTCTTCTTGTTCTCGCTTCTTTTTAACTCGTGTTAAACACTCATTTGTTAAATCTGCTTTTGCTTTTTCTGGCTTTTTTCTCTGGAACTCTCTACCTACTTCTCTGACTACTTCTCCATCACTTAACGAAGTTCAGAGCGGATCTCAAGACCCACCTGTTTGCAAAATTCATTGAGGAGCGCTGTTGAACATCGCGGAAATAGCGCTTTACAAGCAAATTGATTGATTGATCGATTAATTGATTGATCGATTAATTGATTGATTGATCGATTGATTGATTGAACCCAACCACCCATTCCCATGTATCCAATCTTTGCAAACCAAACGAAAACCACCAGATAAAAATAAATGTAACTGCTTATGGATGGAAAAGTAACCAGGCGTCAGCCGGTTACCAAATAAAAATTCTTAAGATTCAGTTACTATAAAGTAAAAGAATCAAGCACCGCATCATACACTCGTTCTGGACTCTACTGAACAATTATTTTATAAACCTTTGACGACTTATAAGCTGCGGTGTTAAAATATTTTAATATTTTTGCTATAATTAATTTTAATAAAACAACTATATTTTAAATAATAAATTGTTTTTTATTAAATTTTTGTAACATTTAAATTATTATATTTTTTATGCATTTGCATGAAATTATTTAAACCTGGCGAACAACTTTCAAACTATTGCATTTGTGCCCTGCAGCGAACTGAAAAATTAACCATGTAGAGTTGTTTGTAGGTTGTAGTTGTAGTTGACAACGATATTGTTTGTAGCATATTTATATGTGATAAATTATTTTTAAGGTCTAGTTTTTTTTGACATTTATATATATTTGTTTCTGGTTTATTTGTTTGTTAGTTTGTTTTAATGTACTCTGCTAATGTAACATACAACTCAATCATAACAAGTTGTCATATGTTTAAGGTTTTAGTTTGCATTTTTTTCGTTTTGCAATTTTTACCATCATCAAATGAATACATTATAAAGATTTTGATACCAATTTTTAGATTCAAATGTGCTAAGTGTTTTAATTTATTCTGAATATTTTTCATCCAAACTATTAGTGAAAAACTCCTCAAGTTTAGCCTATCGGGCAGGCACATCGATTGATGTTTATTGAAAATTGAAGTACAATTAAGCAGTTTAACAAAATAACGTGTCGCCAATGATTTTATATAACTTAGGCTGCACCCACCATCACGGAAACATAAAAGCGATGCCAACGATATGCGTTATTGTTTTGACTTAAACTTCTGGCGTTCAGTAAAATTATGGAATGTTGGAGTGAATTGTACAGTACAAAACGGATCAAAATGGCCCGTTGTCTTGTTGTTAAGTCAAGTAAAATTTGTTTAAGAAGTTTTAATTATCTCTGATATGATTAGTTATCATTAATTGTAATTTTTAATAATTCAAGTTAGTGATTAACTTTTCAGATGACAATCTAAACAAAAGTAATATGTTTTAATGTCTTATGTTTTCAAGTAAAACACAAAAAAATAAATATTGGAAGACAGGCTGCATAAGATACGAACAAAAGTATGAATGTATGAACGAAAGAACAAATCAATGAATAAATAAAAGCAAATAAAAATAAGTAAATAAAAGTTCATTTATTGATTGTATAAGGTTTTTGTGCCCATCCGTACCGAGTATTGAAATATCAATAGGAGGCTGTAAAATTAAATCTGACAGATAAATTGCGATGTTTATGTGTACCTACATGTGTGTTTGTGTAGTCGGTTCACCATTCTGTATGTATGTGTGTGTGTGTATGTGTGTGTTGTATGTGTTGTGTGTGTGTCTATGCTTACCTGATTCCGTTATTCATTGTAGGTTTCGTACACTGTGTTAAATTCTTCAGATGTTATGTTGATGTTTTTTAGTATTCTTCATGCCAAATGTTAAATTGTTTATGTACATCAAAGCAAGTTAATGTTTGTTTGTATCGTAAATATTTTCGTTAAAGTTGTCAACGTCGACTCAACAGCGTGGTTGTTAGCCTCCTTATCCCCAGTATCCAACAGATCACTTAAGTTTATTTAAATTTTTACTGGGCTTGTTTGCAATGGTCGCTTTTGTTGTCGTTAAACGAGACTTTTAGGACAAGGTAGCTTATTCTACGAAGATATTTTTAGTTATAGTTTTTCACAGTATTTAAATTCAAATTTTTAAACTACCTTAAGATAAAAATTCGTTTTGAACCATCAGAAACTAAACTTTCGCTTTCGATTTTTGTTAAAATAGATTAAATGGTGTTAGTTTAGTTATCATTTTAGTTTAGTACATTTGAAATTCATCAAATGTGAAGAAGCCGCATTTTGTCCTAATTTTTGCAAACTTGAGGAACACGATTTGTATCTACTACGTTTTTTTTACAAAAAGCCTTCGATTGAGAACAAAACTTCTCAATTTGCTGGCTATCAAACATATCTGTTACTTTGAAACAACAGTTTCTTCTCAATTAGCCAAAAATTTTATCAAACACATTTTTAAGGCATATGCACTTTCAGTTTATTTTATTTTACTCCACTTCTCATGTTTTCTTTTCATTTTCACACATCACTCCATTCCAACCTTTTCAACTCTCTACATGCCTACTCGTATATCTATATATCTTCGGATAGATATATGAAAACAAAATGTGTTAAAATAAGTTATAAGAAATAAGTTCTTAGCACCTGAAATTAATTAAACATTCAATATCTTTTTTTGTTAGTTTTAAACCATGGCTTCAAAAGAAACTTTGAAAATCTATCATTTTTACTAATATCTATTGCATTAAAATCTATTTCAAGCCTATACGCTATTAATTAATTATCACGAACAAAAATAAAATGAAATGCCCATATTTTCGTTAAAACAGGCGTTCGTGATGAACCAAAGACCCGAACGCGTGCTCTCGTAAATTGGTTTTCGAGTTTGCACCTGACGTGAAGGGCGCGAGTGTGACAGAGCAATTAAACAAATTAAGTTCATTCCACAATTTTTCACGCTATTTCGGACAAATTTATTGATTAAATTATTTTAGTAGTTCGTGTTTGAGTATAAATTATTTAATTATATTTGTATTTTTGCATCTTACTCTAATTAATCATGAGTCGCCATTAAAAAAAATTTTAAGTTCAAAAAAATAAATTTTTGTTTTCATTGTAGGCCATCATGATTATAAATTATAACTGAAGTAAAACTGAAATGAAAGTAACGAAATGAAAAATCGACAACAAATTTATACTAGAAATTATCAAGTCATGTTATACTTATTATTAAAATAATCACATTGGCGTGTAGTTAATGACTGACTTGCAAATTAAACTTCAATGGAAGAAATGTTGATAAACTGCTGCTTTCAAC